AAACACTATTTAGATGTGTGTGGGTTTGACTCGGACTTGTGTGGCTTTGAGAATGATGTGAGTCATTTGGGTCGCTGGATTCGCAGAAAAGGAACAAAGCATCATGTGGATCACACATATGGAACTGAGAATGGTGAGTGCTGAACTGTGGCACAGTGCCACTGCACAATGCGGGATTAACAGAGCTGAGCAGTCATGGTCTCACTCCTACAGGACAATATTTATGCTGTAACTATAATGGTAATATATTGTAAGTCCTAAGTTTGTCCCTTGATATCAACTTGTGGATCAGAGCTCTACAATAATAAGTCACAATAAAAATGCGACTCATCATCTTGTAAAATAATTATCAAGAAGGAGTATGTTGCATAATGTAACACATTGTTTTAATGCGAAAATACTGCATAGCTTTATTACTCAATCCAATCATCTGTATTTGATGTGTTATATCTAATATTTCATACAACTCTATTTAAAAAAAAGGATTCTGTTACTTAACAGGCCTGCAGGATTATCGAGGTGTAGGCTCTTTTTTTAGCTAATCCTCTGCAGTGTTTGACACCTTTTAGATGGCAGCTAAAGCTTAGGCGGCTGTTACAGACAATATAATACAATACAATATTTTACCACTGAAGCAGGAATGTTATAAATTGCCATAAGCTGATTTTCACAATCAGTCATAAGTTCAACAAATTGTCTGAAAGTAGCAGCATTGTTCTCTGCCTCAGATTTTAGTCATCGTTTCTCAGAAATGTCCCAGTCAACAGTCGTCTTTGCATTTTTGTCACAAAACAAATTTTGTTTTTATAGGTTTCTACATGATGGTAACATCAAATTCTACACAGGATGAGATCGCTGAGCTGTTCACACCAGATTTACCTTCAGCTAAAGAAATGTGTGTGCGCTTCTGGTGAGTTCAAAGATCCATCACAGATTTACAATTGGAGGTTGAAGACTGGTGCACATATTACTGTACACTTAATGTAAATGTACTATTTTTAGGTACTGGTTACCCACAGACTCCTCTAGCAACCTCGCTATCCATATAAGACAAAGCGCAGAAGTTGGTGATGTCCTCTGGCAGCAGACTGGAGGGCTCTCTGCAGGGTGGGAGGTGGCAGAGGTCACGGTGTCATCACCTACAAAATTCAATGTAAAAGCATTTGTTTTCTTTTCTGACAATCAGACAGTCTTTTTCTTCCATTATGTTTCATTTTGTATTTTTCTTTATCTTCTGTGGGAATTCTACCTAAAACAGCTGTGTTGCTTGATCAGGTGGTGTTTAAGGCTGTTCATGTGCATGGCACGAATACCACAGTGAAAATTGATGACTTTTCTGTGAGGGACGGAGCCTGTGGTCCTCCGGGTAGCTGTGACTTTGAGTCTGGACAATGCACCTGGGTCAACATCCTCCAAGAAGACGGACATGACTGGGTGCTGGCCAGAGGAGGCTTCCACGGTCCACCAACAGACCATACCACTCAGACCTCGGAGGGTACGGCCTTAAACAAGGATTACTGAGTCAAGGTTTTAGCCACAAAAATGTGATATACAGGGGGAAAAAAACTAGATAAGCCAACAGTTCTCTTTGATACATTTGGATAAAGATTCTTACATGTTGGGTTGGTTTTCCATCGTCTTGCAAGACTTGCTACAGGACTTACAAGGATTTATATGACCTCCATTGCATTTTAGTCTGATGATATCAGCTTTTTGAGCCTTTTAGGGAGATTTGCATGCACATTTTGCATATTTGTGCATATTGAATAAAACAATCAAGAAACCACTCTTGGTTTAGAAAGAATTTATTTTGGTTCAAATTCTAGTGGCTGACAGCTCAGTTTTTCATTGATATCCACATTGGCATAGACAGTATTCTGACTTATTTAAAATACATTTAAATCCTTAAAACTGCACTGACCAACATTTTTTATTTGCTTACATATTTTATGTATAATATTAAAGTGGTGACTCTTGGGATTCCCATCAGCTCTGCACTACTTAAATGTCTTCTAGCTGACACTAGCGTTACGGTTTAGGCTCACCCTTACTGCTCCTATCTGCCTTACAAATAGCTGAAGCTAAACACTCAGAAAGTCAACCAATGGTGTGGATTTCAGTTCCCAGTGAACATTTTGTCTTTGTTTGAAGTTTCAAAATGTGACAGATGGTGTGAATCATCTGAAACTTAGTTAATTATAATCAAAAACTGCTGATGTTGCAACCTGTTGATGTTGCAACCTGATCTGTGTGAACTGAAGTTAATTTTTAACTGACATAACATAGTTACTTGAAACATACTTCTCTTTTTTTATCCCTGACTTATGTCCTGTTGCTGACCTAACCTCCTCCCTGACTACATGTAATGTTTCTAAATTCTAGATGCTCTCTATTTATAAATATCTACACTTTAACAACTGCATTAATATCATTAGAAAATAATATGTTTAATCTTTTAACATTTATCCGGGTGTACCCCAAGTTTGAATTATTAAAACAACAAAAGGAGCAGCATTAAATATTAACTGTATTTATTTATTGTGTGAATTTTGTTTTCTTTTTGCATGGAGGTCGGTTCTTGTTGAGCTCGTCACCAAACCAAAGTCACAGCAGTGTTGCACAGGTAGTGTCTGAATGGATCCAACTTAAAGACACCACGTCCTGTCTCACTTTATGGTACCACATGGACAACAGGTCAGCAAAAAAAAATCAGGTTGCACTTTATCCTGTTTATCTTGTGTAGTTTCCTCACTGACTTCCTCAAGAAGTGTGCACAAATGTCGTGAATCACCTGCTTTACTTTGTGCAAGACTGAGAATATTCTGTGGCAGAGTTCAGTTTGTTCCAAAAAGAGTTGCACTACCAACAGTGAAACCAGCAGCCTTTTAACCCTGTAGCAGAAAGATGCCATTATTAGTTTTGGAAATGAAAAGTGTACATTTCTTGGTTTTAACAAGAATCTCTCTTTTTTTTCTCTCAACTAAAACAATTTTCCTGTTGTCCATCAGCAACTCCGGGACTTTGCAGGTGTTCATACGTTCAGGGCCGTCAGACGAGGATCTGATGTTCCACAGTAACAGCAGTGAGAGCCGCTGGGGCAAGTTCTCTCGGTCTGTAGAAACGTCCAAACCTTTCCAGGTATTCCAAACAGATTTAGCTGTTACATTAGAACCCAGGAATATTATATACATATTTACATGCTCTCTCAAAAACAGCTGCTGATCGAGGCAGAGACTAGCAGAGGATTCATTGCCATTGATGACATTGGTCTCACACCAGGCCTCTGTCAAGGTACAGCTATTCTTTTTTTTTTTTGTTGCATTCCCTTTTTTCTTAGTAAAGCAAGTTACAGAAAATATTTTGTTTTCTTTCTGACACAGTTAATGAAACAGATTTGGGGTTTGTGGGTTGCTCGTTTGAGAATGGCACATGTAACTGGGAGGACATCGGTGTTGGCCAGTGTCGGTGGATGAGAGGAAGGAACGTTACTGGGAATACAGGACCACCCGTGGACCACACTCTGGGCACTAATCTAGGCAAGGCCAAATACACACACTAAAGATATAATAATACATTTACACCAAGCGTCAAATCAAACTGTCTCAGATTACTTTTCCTAAACCTGGACTCTTCTTACAATCTCAGCCGGCTTTTGTCTTTTTGTACAATTTGTACAGTCTTAGCAACACTTGTGTTTATGCAGTTTCACACTGAGGTAAGTGTAGACAATCAGCAGTTTTAAGTAGGTTCTGATCTGATGCGTCCAGGTTGGTACATGGCAGTGGAACCTAACCAGGGTGATCAAATGAGCCCTGCTACCCTCCAGAGTCCCCTTATGAAACAGGCCAGCACCACCTGCATACTGCACTTCTTCTACAACATGTATGGGGAGGGTATGTTTATAAGATCTATGTCTTCAGCAAATAAATAAATAAATAAATAATACAATTCAAAAAATTTATTCCAACCTTTGCAACAATCAATCAATCAACAGATACAGAAGAGCTGAACGTGCTACTGAAGGAGGGATCCAGGACCACCAGGCTGTGGTGGTTATCTGGTAACCACGGAGATTCATGGCAACACGGTGAAGTAACGATTGGCAGAATACCTCAGGACTTCACCATCCTGTTTGAGGCCTCCAGGACCTTCGATATGCCCGGATACATCACTATTGATGATGTGGACTTCACCAACTGCAGCTTGCCTGGTAGGCTACCTGCTCACCCTGTGCGCTCTGATGTCCTCTTTACTACTTTGTTCCTTCTGGACTTTTATTTTTTATCTTTTTAAAAATTATTATTAGAGCCACAGCCTCAGTGTCCTGAGGGTGTGTTCACATGCAACAACAGCGTGTGTGTGGACACCAACCATGTCTGTGACTTCAGCGATGATTGTGGGGACTGGTCTGATGAAAACAACTGTGGTGAGAAAAGAAAAATGCTCTGTGGTAGATTTTGTACTTGGAAACTGAATTTTTGTATTAATTACATTTATTTTTTTAATTATTCACTTCTTTCTTTATCTGCTAATCACGTAGCGCTACAAGGTGTGTTGGAGCGCTGCAGCTTCGAACACGGCCTGTGTTCCTGGGCAGCAAGCGATGTGGACACACCCGGAGCTGAGTGGACATATCACAAAGGAGAGGACGCCTGGCCCCACCACGGACCTCACAGGGACCACACACAAAATTCTGATGCAGGTCTAAGAGTTAAAGTCTGAATTATCTTTGCTTTGAATCAGTAATGCTATGATTTACTTTAGTTTTTAATTCCGTCTTATCCAAACAGGTCACTACATTATACCTGGAACTCACCTGAGTGCAAGTGGCGAGACATCAGAGATTCTGTCCAAAACTTTATTGCCCAGCTTTAATTGCAAAGTGAGTTTACTGTATGTAAATTAAAGTGTTGTTTACAGAAAAACACCACCTTGTGTTTTTTTGGGTACTGGCAAGTCATGTCACAAAGTTACATAAAAGCTAAAAAAAAATCACCAAAATGTCAAATGGGGAGAAAAAGCAGGCAGTTAATAAGCTTTTAATAAACTGCAGTGGTTTCATTAATACAGATAATAACAGCTGATGGGGGCAAAATCTTGACAGATTGACAAACTGCAGGAGATAATAATAATAACCTTTGATGTATTTAATAGCATCTATATGAAGCACTTATGGGGCACAGTACAAATAAAACTGCTGAACACTTCTGTAATTATACTACAGTAATAACAATGCTTATCTACACATATTTTTATTACCTTTCTGATTCTTATCTTGAGTAATTGCAGTAAAGTATTAACTACTCCTGCAGGTTGCTGAGTCTACAAGAATTCTTTAGCAAACACCATCCTGTCGTCAGCCCGTTCTTTTTATGCTCACGGTGCTGTTGTAATACTTTCAGGTGAGATTCTTCTACTTCAGCCTGAATGATGCTTCAGGCCGACTGACTGCACAGTCCAGGACTCTACGGTCCGGTAGTGACGACAGAGTTTTATGGACCAGGGAAGCATCACAAAGCTACAGCTGGCAGAGAGCCGAGGTTACGTTGTCCTCCGCAGCCAGCAGCAAGGTTAGTGAGGACACAAGCAGTTAATTGAATGGCAGCCGCTGCCTCATGTGTATAAATGCTGTTAGACATCAACTTAAATAATAGCCTTAAATCCCTGAAGCTTACAGACATTATTGAAATTATAAGACCAAGAAGACTGTTGAGGCCTTTGCATAAAAGTGAAAGTATCTGTAGACGAATGAATACTTCTTATATGTACAATACAATTATGTGTTGTATCAGAGCAGTTCCCTGGCAGAATAATAGCTAAAAGGCCACAGTCTAATCTCTGTTTTATCCTCAGATTGTCTTTAGGTATGAGCTCGGCGACGGTCTCAGAGGTCTGGTTGCACTGGACGATGTATCTTTCTCCAGGGATTGTGTATTTGACCCCGACAACAGCGAGCTACCTGACCTGTCGTCAACCTCTGCCCCACCATCAACCTCTAACACACCCACTTCTCCACACTTGACCTCTACTGCACCAATAAACCCCTGTCAGGTAAGCTGCAGAATCTGACTTTATTTCTGTGATAGCAAACTTAGGAAACATAAATTATAAACAAGTCTAAATACACAGTGGGTATTTGTCTCTTTTTTTTCCTGATGCAGGATAATGAGTTTTTTTGCTGGCAGTCACAGGGAAAAGTGTGTATTCTGGCTACCTTACAATGTGACTATCATCTAGACTGCCCGCAGGGGGAAGATGAAGCCGGCTGTGGTGAGAGCTGCATATTGTATTCAGTGTTTCTAAGTTTGTCTTGAAAAAAGTGTTATTATCAAAGTTGTGGCAAAAATCCATTTAATCACTGTTTTTCCTGAATGTGGCTAGTTGGAGAGGTCATTTAAAACAGTAACGCTGCCATAAAGTACACTTCTGTAGTCCTCTGAATGCTAATGTTGCCTACTGCGACAGTCCTTAAAAAAATTCCTCCTTTGCAATGGTTAAAATGGTTTATTCATCCCATTTTAAAGCCTGCATGTTGTGGTGCTGCTGAATTTCATTATTAGTGTTTTTACATTTTGACAGTAAATATGGTAGAGTAAATATTACCAAACAGTATTATGAAATTTCACTCTTACTTACAGTGTTTATCCACTGTATAAAGATAGTTTTATTCTCAGGCTTTTTTTTATGCCAAATATTCATTTTTTTTAAGCCGTGCTGTATAAAAAAGAAGCACTGGAATAGTTGGGAAAGTTTTCATAAGCGCAAGAAATCAGATACAGATGGACTCTGCATAGAAATGAGTTGCACACTTATCCCCAAACAGGTCATGTGCAATTTCAGCGCCAATGAAAGAAGAAATTTAAGTCCTCGCACACTTATGCAGTGTTGTGATTTGTAAGCCTTGATGACAATTTCAGTGCTTTGACATAACCCTAAATAGGCTGTTTGTGCTAGAAAACCCTCCAATGTGGTTGAATTATAACAATTCTGCAAAGAAGAGTGGGTCAAAATTCCTCCACAGCAATGTGAACGATTCATTGCCAGTTATCGCAAACGCTTCGCTGCCAAGGGTGGTGACTTACAGTTATTAGGTTTAAGGGGTGAGTACTTTTCATATATGGGAGACTAGTAGGTTTGCATAGCTTTTATTCCCTTAATAAATGAAATCATCAAAACTGCCTTTTGAACTCAGGAAGGGGGAAAAACGTTTTCACAGCACTGTAATTGCCACCAAAACCTCTTGTATGCCTTTAACAGGAGTAAACTGGATCAGTTATGCTCTTCTTTCTTTTGAGGCTTGTGTTTGGGCCCAGCACCTGTTTTTTCTTTGGCCGTGATGACCATGAATATTGTGACTGTTTTATCAGCAGAAATTCCTTTGGCTGACGCACCTGCATACAACACAAAATCTTTTAAAAGCGGTTTACTTCTCTCGAGCGAGTGATTTCCACAGCAGTGTTACATCTTGATTTGAACCCTTCAGGTCCGTGCACATTTGAGAATGATCAGTGCCGATGGACTGATGTTAGCGATGGACAGAGCAAGTGGCAGAGGCAGCGAGCCAGTAACAACACTGAGCCACCCACTGATCACACTGCAGACACAGGTGGCTGTTATTGAGTAGTTCATTGATGTTATTGTCATAGCTTCACTTCACAGCGTGTTTAATCACCAGGTGTCTGTTATTCTCAGGCTACTACATGAGAGTTAATTTCAGTAAGGGGTCTACACAGAGTGAAGCTCAACTCCAGAGTCCCCCGCTGTCTCCTTCGTCCCCCTACTGCCAGATTCGGTAAGCAGTGATGCGCAGACAAATGATCGCGTCAAACCTGGTTATTTTGATGGATATATTTGATGGATATGTCCGTGTATGAATTGCTCAATGCTTCAAAGCTCCCCTCCCCTCTTTCTACCATGCAAGTGTCTTCCCAATCCAACGCTCTCTCTGCTTCTTGCTTCCTTCTTTCCTACACACAGGTTTCACTTCCACATCAGTGCAGAGAGCGCTGGGTCACTCAGAGTGCTTATGCAGCAAGCTGGAGGGAGTGAAGCAATCTTGTGGTCACGTAGTCACAGCACCGTCTCTCATTGGAGCCCAGAGCATCTGCCTCTCGGCCTGCACCAGCAGCCTTATAAGGTGTTTGATTTTGCCTCCTCTCAACAATGAAAATTGTACACGGGAAGCAATGAGAACAAATGAGTTTCATATAATAATAAATAATAAATACTAATCATTAAAAAGTGCCTGACCATTTTTGTCACCAGGTTTTGTTCAGTGGCGTGAATAATGCAGCTGCTTCTCATGTTGTTGCTGTGGATGATATCTCTTTCCTAAACTGTGAAAAATCCTACCAACCTCCAGGTACATAAAGTTAATTCAAAGTGACTGTTAGTGAATATATAACATGAGAGGTAGGGGAATGAGTGTGGTGCATGTATCATTTTATATCCATTTTTGTGCCATGTTCAGACTTCCAGGATTATTTTTGTTTTCCTTCCCTTCTCAGCTCTGGCGTCCTTTGGCTGTTCTTTTGAAGATGGTCTGTGTGCTTGGGTTCAGGGGGCTGAGGATCAGCTGGACTGGCTTAGCGGGGCAGGTCCCACTCAAACCTCTAACACCGGGCCTGCAGGAGACCACACCAGCAGCAAAGGTCCTTTTACCTCATGCTAAACTTTCATTATGCTAGTCTGTATATTTATGCAAGTGCCAGATGCCTTGTGTCCTTCAAGGCTGGCCTTTGTAACCTTTGCTGAGCATCAGCCACTGTAACCACAAGTGATCATTAATGCAAATTGACTGTTGACATTATAACAAGTAGAACTGAGTGAACAGGACAGACTGAGTAATGTCCATCACAAAATGGCAGAATGCACATAAAAGACAAATCCTGCAAGACTAACTGCAAGATGGTGCATCTTAATTCCACAGTTAAAGCTTAAAATTGATTAACTGGGGAGTTTTCATAAATTGTTATAAACATTAGCTTAGTTTTTGGGACTAGATAACCAAAAAGAAATAGTATTGTATTGCTTGAAGCAGTGGCATGATACATAAAATTATAGTCTTACAAAATGTCTATTTCTTTTTACCTTTAGCATTTCTCAAATTTTGGTTTCTAAAATTCTCTCTTTAAACTTTTTATGGCTCAGTGTGACACAATGTGAAAGTGGAGCATCACTCCTCACATGCCACATATGCAAGCTTAGGACATAAGTTGCAAATTTATTTTTATTAAAAGGTTGAGACCTTGAAGTTGTCTTGTTTTTGTTTCACAGGGAAATACCTTTACATCGAGAGTTCCTCACCGAGCATAAAGGGTGATTCAGCCCAGCTGAAGTCTTCACTGCTTCCACCTGCTGGTGAAAAAGGATACTGTTTTTCATTTTGGTACCACATGTTTGGAGCCACTGTGGGTTCCCTCAAGATGTTCCTGCAAACATCTGATCCCTTAGAGAAAACTCTGGTAAAAATATGCATGAAATTAGTCATTTTCTCAATTTGTTTTATCCAGTGAACGCCAAAAAATATGGCAGAGGCCTTAAGAAGGCCACTTAGGTTTTTTTTCCCTTTTTGTTAGTCATGCCGTTTTAGTCTGGACACGTTACTTCCCTTTACTGCAGGAAAAAAAAAGGAAAAAAAACGTCTGTGTGGCCGATTGAGAAATATTTGCGGCTGTTTCCACTGTGTTTTTCTCTGTGTTATTATACTTTTCACATTCTTGTGAAATGCTGATTGCAAAATCACATTAATGTCTTTCCTGTAGGTGTGGCAAAAATCAGGAAACCAAGGAGATGAGTGGCTGCAGGTTCAGAGCCATGTGAACCTGCAGAAAGTCCACCAGGTTGTTCTGGAGGCAGCAGTGGGGGGAGAGGCTGGAGACATAGCTATCGATGACATCTCCTTGAGTCCTGGAGCATGTCCTGTTTCTGGTAATGGAGCTGAAAATGATAAAAATTCCAAGCAACCACATTAATGTCTGTTATTTGCTATTTTTGCCACACATTATATTGTTCCTTTTCAGTTTACTAGCTGTATAGATCAAATAAAATGCTAAATGGGGGCGTAATAGTCATTTTGCAAGTATTCATTTTAAAAAAATGATGCAATAAGCGTATAAAAACATACCAGGTACTTCACGTGGGCATTTCAAGTTGCCCTGCCTCACACTCTCCTCTCCCCAGATACCAAAACAAGCCCTCCAAAATTTGTGAGGAAGCTGCCAAATTTCTATTTTGTCCTCTGTCAGCTGCATCTCTCTCTGATGTTTCAAACTTCCATCATCCCAACATCCACCCCTTGGCTCCAAAGAGATGTTTACTTAGGTTTAGACTCCAATTTCATTCATTTGCTCTATTAGATTTCAAACAGGAGCTCTCTGACCAAAATACATAATAGTTTAGCAGCTCACTGAAACTGCAGCAGAACTAGTCTTATCCAATGCACAAGGAGCACATATAGCTAACAAGCAGACAGTAATGTAATTAACTGCAACAGATATTACAGTGTTAATCAAAAACTGTCATGTCTAATGTCCTCAGATTAAGTTAAAATGTAATAATGTTGTACAGATTTGTGTGACTTTGAGGATGGGAGCTGTAACTGGGAGCAGCAAGCAGCCGGTGATTCTGAGTGGATCAGACATCAGGGATATACTCACAACCCTTACACAGGACCGGAGAGCGACCACACCACCAGCACACCTACGGGTCACTACTTCTACCTGCCTTCATCGTCTACTGACCGAGCTGGCCAGAAAGCTGCAATGTTTTCACCTCTGTACCCAGCGGGTGAGAGACTCAGCAGTATTTTTATATAATGCAGACAGGGGCCTGCGTTCAAACAGAGCCAAAACAGTTCAGGGGATTCAGATGTGGTTTTTTTGTCCTTCAGACAAAGGATCTTGCGTGCAGCTGTGGTACCACATGTATGGCAAAGGAATGGGGACACTAAATGTTTACCAGCAAAGTGAAGATGGGAAGGAAGCTCTGATTTTCTCTCAGACAGGAGACCAGGGCCTTCTGTGGAGGTTCGCTCAGGCTTCTCTTCTGCCTCGGCTTCATCCTTACAGAGTGAGTCACAAAGAGCCATCCAAGCTAGTGAACAGAGCAATTTAAGTCATCATTATTTAGTCCAGTGAGAAAATTAGTTTTGTGTATTCAGTACGTACAGAAGCAGAGGGCAGCGCTCCAGCTGTAAACCAATGCCTTGATCAGAGGCACAAAAACAGTTACATAAATAAACACGTGTGAACAAATAGATGCACAGACAACAAAAAAAGCACACAAGTAAAAGTACAGTGTCTAAATACATTTTTAATTTTTCACACTCAAATTTTGTCATTTCAGGGGGAAATATATTTATTTTAGTTGTTTTTATTCTAGATTTTTTCAACAGCTTTGCTTACTGGTAAAAACATCTTAGCTTCAGTAACTGAATTATTTTAAAAAGTAATAAATAGTTAAATGAGCTTCACCTTATTCTAATATAAAACATAGTTAATGCTTTTCTGTTAATTCAGTAATTATAAAATATTAGTACATTTTAATACAGGTTTAACCCTGCTGTGGGTCATTATGTCCCCATAATCAGTATTATTACTCACCACTGAGGTTGTTCTTTTTTTTTTGATGACACTGTACTTTCACTTCCACTACATTGTGGTATTGTTACACAAGTAAACTCTGGGAGTGTTTTTTTTTGTTACTACAACTGTATATATTTGTAAGCCATTTCCTTTATGTTGTTTTGATATGCTGCTTAATTTGACTGTGTTTAAACAACATCTGTAAATATTCAAAATAATGTAAGAGGTGTCATATTTTCATTTAATCTTTGTGTTGTGTAGAAAAAAGTCTGTTGTTTTTGTAAAATGGAGTTGAAACGCATGCACTAGTTGTTCTCCGAAAACACTAAAGTGTTTCCTGGTAATAATGTGGTGAATTAGAGTAATCTACAAAAAACAGAAGACCAATATTTCAAAACCTGATCACATAAAACTGCATAAACACGTATTACTGTGAGAGTTTATTTTCTTGGGCAGACAAAAATTGTGGCACGTTAATTGGTAACAGTACTTTGAGTGTACAACAGTGCAGTGTCACGGAAATGATACAAAAATATAAAATAACACTAAAATAACTCTTCCACTAAGATTTTTTAAAATCTGGTCTACATGCTTTGTGTCTCAGATTGTGGTGGAAGGTGTGAAGGCTGGCCCTACACAGGAGGGGGACATGGCTATTGATGATGTACAGCTGACTGATGATCAGTGTCCTCCTCGTGGATTTTGTGACTTTGAGGACACGATGTGTAGCTGGAGCAACCTGGGTGAAGGAGTCGACCAGGGAGACTGGCTCCGTGGCAGTGGTGGTTCCCCGAACCCACATACAGGACCCAGTGTGGATCACACTACTAATTCCACACAAGGTAGTAACTATTCCGGACAGAGACAAAAAGTAGATTTTACAGATGCATAAAAAACACAATTGCCATGAGCAGTGTTGGTCAAGTTACTTGAAAAAAGTAATCAGTAACTAATTACTGATTACTTCCCCAAAAAATCCCATTACTTTACTGATTACTTATTTTCAAAAGAAATTAATTACTTAGTTACTTCGTTACTTTTTAAAAACACAATTTACAACCTGAATAGGTGATAAAGCGATAGATCTTTCAGCCCAATTCTACTTATTTTTGCATAATCCATCATACAAAATGTAATCAAATGGAAAAGTCTCTATTTAAAACTTGTTTTATTAGTTTTAATCTTTTAACTTTATGCATCAAGCAAAAATTTAATTATATGTAAAATTCTCTGACTGGAAGAAATTAGTTTAACATTTAAACCTATTTTCTGCACATTCCAGAACATAAAATAAAATATTTTTTGTGTTTACACTCAGTCTTTCAAATAGATGCAAGTGAAACACAGTAGAAAATAAATAAAATCAAAGACTAGCAGCCCTATTGCTCTATTTTCACCTGTAAAGCAGGCGGAGGTTTACCCTGGTGCAGGTGTGCCACAGCAGTCAGTTGAAGAATCCATGAGTTTCTCTGTGAATTTCCCATTACGTGGTTGCGCACTAAGTGCTTGCTTGGAAGTTTAGGGGGTTTTTTCGCTGTAAAAAGAAGTTTTCTTCCCACGCACAATGGACACTAATGTTTTTGTCACTTTTTATGGAATCAAACTCAAAGTAAGGTCAGTACTTCGACGCTTTAAACGCTGCACACTCATACTGTCTCCTGCACTCGATATATTATCCTTTGTTGACCTGCACACAGCTGTTGTCACGAACGTCGCACTCGCTTACGTCACTGTCATGAGACATTCTCGCAAAAAAAAATCACGGTTTTAGTAACGCAGTAACGCAGCATGCTTACGGGAAAGTAACGGTAATCTAATTACCGTTTTTGCAATAGTAATCCCTTACTTTACTCGTTACCTGAAAAAAGTAATCGGATTACAAGTAACGCGTTACTGCCCATCTCTGGCCATGAGTTCAGTTATACAGCACGAGTGACTCAAGCAGCATTCATAAAGAATCATTGTGGGAATAAAGCACTTTACAATTATTGGCTCGTGAGAAATAGCAAATGAGCACTGACTGTTTGAACTTTCATGCATGAAACACTTGGCTCAGAAGCAGAAGCAAGCTGTAAACCAGACGACAAAACTGTTAGCAGGAGGTCACTTTTTACACAAGCAGCAAATATAGAGCTAAGTTTATTCAATGTTTGCATTAACCTGATGTTCTTGAATCTAACATTCACTTTTTTTTAACGTCTCTTTTGGGTCTCCTCTGGTCCTGGAGGAACCTGGAGGAGTTCTTAGTTGCCTGAGTCTATGATAGACTCCAGATATATAAAAAGATGAATTATATTAATTATAAATAGAATATAAATATTAATTGTAGCAGTTTTATTCACCAATAAGGTTCCACATAGAGACAGAATTGATTATATAGAATAATTTGTCATCGGTAGACTGTGTTTGGCCTAAAGGAAGTATACCATCCGATAAGATAAGATAAGATAAGATAAGATAAGATAAGATAAGATAAAAGGAACTTTATTTATCCTGAGGGAAATTCTTTTGTCGTTCATTATTTTGATATGCATGCTTGTTTGAAATCACAGTTTTTTATGACACTGGCTGCTATTGTTAATCTGAATGTGCTTGCTGTGTTTCCATCAGGTCACTATGTTTACGTGGACAGTTTTGTGGGTGAGTGGGGAGTCTCATCCTTCCTGGTCAGTGATGTTTTACAGCCCTCCACACGAGGGCACTGTCTCACATTCTGGTACCACATGTATGGAAACCATGTTGGGACTCTCCGTGTCTATATAAATAACAGGTAAATACTTCTGTCTGAAGATCATCAATATTAAACAATATTATTATACTAATGACATTTTCTGCATTACATAAAATAAATGGGTGTCGTCCTGTCTTGCAGGAAAATGCAGGCTGGTGGTGATGAAGTGGGCCTATTGAAGTGGACTGAAACAGGAAACAAGGGAGAAAAGTGGCAGATGGCAAATGTGTCTGTCACGCATGATGAAGCATTTTGGGTATTACTGAGCTTGTGATAAGTTTCATGTGGAGAAATACACAAAATATCTAAGTGAAAAATGAAATGTTGATTTTATATTGCAGCAGATTACATTACAGATTACTTACCATTACAGAGAAATGATTCACAGGTGGACACAAGTAACACATTTGGAACAAAAACTCTTATGACTGCTTTTTGATAAAGCCCATTAGCCAATTTTTATGATGACTGTCGACAAAGGCAGGAGTTGACTTTAGAAGTCTAAAATTACTCCATTTTAAAAATATATACATATAATAATAATAGGGGTATGGGTTGTACAGTGGTTACCCACTTTGTACCTATGGACGTAAACAAACCCAGGTCCTGGTGACTCAGGATTTAAACTATGTGCTTTTCAGATGTGGATCCCAGGGCCCCGCATCATATGAAAATGTTTCTGTTTAAAAAAAAAAGGCTTTGAGTGCTAGGTGAGAGTAATTGCTATATAAATTACTGCTGCATTATCACTACGTTTGATTTATTTGTTTTAACACTTACAGTTGTAATATTATATTCTTATGGTATATATTTAAAATTATGACTTATTTAGTTTCATCTTATTCAGCGTCACGACGTGGACGTGTGTATTGCACTGCTTTTGTCGTTATCAGTCGATGAACATTTGATGACCTGATTGCTCCTCGTGTTTTAACTTTGCTCTTTGATGCGTAACAGTTCTTCTCAGTTGGTTCTTTATAATATTTAATGATAATTTTACTTATGGATGGACAAAATGTTAATGTCAGTTTTTAAGGATTTTTATGCAAGCCCTTCATGAACCTCAGCATTAACAAAACACTGAAATATTAAACTAAAAGCAGCACTTAAGAGATTATGTATTTGAATGGGTTTACTGAGGATTTATATAATTTGTGGCTGAGTATTTCACTTTCTCTCAAAGCCTTCATTGTCTGGGGATTGTGACAGATGTCAGGAGCAAACGATTGAATTTATAGGCGATGGCATACATGCTGTAAATGCACTTGTATTTATTGTCTTTAAAACTTTATTTAAATTTAAATTACAGATTGTTTGTCATTACAGCAGTTCTTTTGTTAAACCTGCGACTCACCGACTTCATTCATGGAATTGAGCACTCATATACACCCATACAGTGATATACCAATCCCTTTAATTTAAGCAGTCTGGATCATAATTTTGTTTTTGCTAATTTTATTCTTCTTATGTGATTTGTACACAGTTGTGTGAGCTGAGAGGTGGGCAGCAGTATATATTTGACAGCTACATTGCCTCGCTACAGTCTGCTTCATGTTTTTTTTTTAGATATATATGTAACCTTTAAACTTCTTTCTCTTTCCTTCGCCACAGTTTGTGTTTGTGTATCAGCGAGGCAGGATGGCAGGTGGGGATGTTGCTCTTGATGATATCACCATCGTCCCAGGCAGCTGCTACACAGAGCCTCCCATTGATCACTCTGACAATAAGGGTAACTGTAAGCCGCCGGAGGATACTTCATAAATACGTCTTACTATTTTTTTTCATAGAAAACTAGAAGAAAATAATTTCTTGTACTGTGGAAAAATGCTTTTCTTTTGTAAAAATTGACAAATTATTTGTGGGTTTACATATTATCCCCAATGACCATAGCAAAATACCTACTTGCATTAATATTTGGGGCAGACACTGTCTCTTTTTTTTTCTTCTTTTGCACTTTATAGCACAGACTGCCAAGCAAGGTTTACTCCTAATTGTTCAAATTAAGATACTTTAAATGGGTCACGAATATTTATCATTTGATTTTGGCAGCTTGAAGTTAATTTTTAAAACAAATCAAACAGGACTAAACACTGAAAATCGATACATGTAATAGTTATATATGTCTAGGTTGTTTACCTCCACAGGACGGTGTGTATTTGACTAAACAATGACCAGACAGTGCTGCTCATTTATGTGCTTTTATCTGTCTTCACTGATAAGAAGAACATCTTTGAATATTGTCAGCTTCGTCTTTCAGAAAGTGAAATGTTGGAAAAACAGTCATCTGTTTGAATGTGCATTCATCATGGTTCTCTTTGTGTGCAGGTATGATTGTCGGCCTTGCAGTTGGGCTAATTGTTCTTGCTGGGATCATCATCTTTATCGTCCTTGTTATGCTGAACCAAAATCATAATAAAATGTAAATTTAACAACCGTGATTAGGGATTCAACATCAGGTGCACATTAATGATGATGGCTCATTTTTGATGTTCAATAACATTTGTACTTTGTGGTCAGGAATCAGCAGCTATTAGTGAACGATGACGATGCGATTAACCAGAACTCAGTGTTTGACCTGTATGACTGCAGAATAGATGTAAGTAAACATGGTGTGGTAACAGGAATCCTGTTTTTTTATCAGATTATTTAAATATGTTTCTTTTCAGGGCACGCAACATGGCACTGAATCTGACTTCTCCTTCTTTAACAAGATTTATGATCCATCGCCGCAAGCAAGGGAGGCCACCACTTCATCGACTGATGCTTAGGCCAGATGTTTTTCTGTCAAAGTAAATAAAATAAGTAAAATCGAAAGGATTTTTCTCTTTATTGAATAGATGTTAATTTCATGAAATCAAGTAAATTACGTTGGAATGTGCATGTGGGACTTTTCTCAGGAGAGAACATAATCAGTTAATTCCTTAAGTGTAGGATGCATCCCCCTGGTGGGCCCTGAAGATACTGCAGGTTGGCATAACAATCTTTTGCCTTTTAAATTATTCACATAAAAAAACAAAACAACACTAAAAGAAGACAGCCATTGTATTTAAAAATGAAGCATTACTCTTGATTTTCTGAACCATTTTCCCATCTTTAGCATTCACTTGTAACAGGAAAAACTAAAACAGGGGAAATGGCTATCAGGTGCAAGAAGTAAAGCTGCTGCCAGCAAGTCGAGACTAAATCAAAGTGAATCAGTGAAAAATACATTGAAGGAAATACTCTAGCTTCTGCCTGTGTGATGAGGTAAAACCTTTGCAAAAACTTATAGTATTCTTATTTTAGGAAACTATACATTTTCCTGTCATTGTGTAAGGGCACTTTTTCTATAAAGGATCTTATGATGTCCAAAAGCAGCAGCTTCTTTCAAGTCTTTTTATTAGACAAAGGTTTCAGTGCAATGTATAATACAAAGCACTTTCAGAATTTTTACATTCTAGTTCTCTCCTCGACCATTAAACAACAAAGAAAAACACACAACCAAACATAAAACAAACAAACAAAAATCAGGAACAATAGTCGTGGGCCTTTCAAAAAAAAAGTCCAGAAAAGGGGACCACAGTTTATAACATTTGTTTTTTGGCCCACAAGAGATTCAGGGTAGTGGCTCAGTTTCTGACCACATTACTGGGGTTTACTACAGTGTCAAGCTAATATACAGTGGTGCAGCGGTCTCCATTCCACATGTTTTCTATGGTTATATTAGCATCAAAATACACTTGAAGTGTTTGAAGTGCTACATGTAAAAGGTTTTCCTTATGGAGGATGCATATTTTCAAGAATGATGTTTGGTCCTGAGTTCACCCACTTTAACAACTGTGTCCATCTTGATTGTCCATGGGAAATATTCAATTATCAAAATAAAAATGTAAATAAAAAAGAATTCATTTGTTTTCTTTTCTAAAAACAAATATAGAAGGTATAATTTATTAAGTTATCATAGGCTAATTCTGACTAATTACAACAAACCATTTCACACTGATCAGTAGCTGCACTTCATGGTCCAGAGGTTGTTCAACAGAATTAAACTTAAAAACATTCAGTTCTGTTATGTCAATCCTAATTTATTTTTGCCTATCCAAAATCAGAAACCCATCCAAGTCAAGTAAAATACTTTTACCACGAAAAAAGAAAGAAAAAGAAAAAGATTTAATTTTTAGGATGATGACTGAAGTACTCTGATCTTCTGCAGGCACATCCTTTACTACTCAGTTTTTAAAAATCCTGGAAACACCTGCTTTCAAGATTACCTGTCTGCATAACGTAATAATCTGCATGTGCAAGAGAAAAGTAAAATGTCTTCTAGAACATCGAAGGCCCCTTTTCCCCATTTTGATTCATTTATTTGATTACTCAAAAAAAAAAAAGAAAACTGGATCTTCATGGGGCCCCTGCTTGGGTTTGAGAATGTCACTACTACGCCCCTGTGTCCACTCAACGAACCCACAAGGTCGGGAAAAAAATCTGTAAATTGCATTTTTAAAGCCAAAGATTGGCTTTAAGGCTCCTTATTTATTCCCACCGTGGCATACATCTAGACACGAGCAGCAGTTGAAGACAGTCGCGTTTTTTTACGGCTTTTAGCCCACCAAACCACGTGGGACGTTATACTCGACGGCTTCATTGAACAAGCTCACAATCAGAGAGAGTACCAGGAAGACAGACAGAGGGAGAACTGTGCTGAAAGAACAATGGGAGTAGACGTCGAAACCCTCAGACCAGGAGACGGTAAAGCTTTTTTTTGTCCTCCCCTCTTTGGTTCCAATTACTCCGTCCCTTTAAAACTATATTTGCCTTTGGGTGTATATCAACCTTCGTTTTCTTTCTTCAGGAAAGAATTTTCCGAAGAAAGGATCGACAGTTTCAGTTCACTATGTCGGTAAGCCTCGCCTCTTTTTTACCATTTATTCATTTACTCCGAGGTGAAAAAATAAATATGTATTAGTATAAACTGGGTTTGTAATAAGCATCATTTCTCATTTCGTGGACCTGTGGACAGTTAAATGAGAATTTGATTGGTGGCAGCAAGCTAATTCTGTAGCTAGCACTGCTTAGCTTAGCTTAATTTAGCGTAGCATAGCTTAGCACCTGTAAATGAGGGGGCGGATAGCCGGACTCTAAAGACACCCTCTCTGTAATTCTTGCCCACCTTTAAGATTGCCACGTAATACCTACAATAAATAAAATGCGAGAAATGGCAAACTACCGCTAGGGTAACGTGTGTCTTTATTCTAAGGATTTGTGCTAATGTGAGATATTGTAGCCGCATCCTGACGGCAGCTTCCGGTGTCCTAAGATGTCGAACAATTCTGCTCAAACTAAGCTGCACCGTGTACCCTCAGCAGTACATTTTTACCCAGTCACCCTGTGTGTGAATACAACATGACAGTCACTCGAATCTTTTAATTTGTATCGTTTGGCTTCGCAGAGGCTATCAGGCTTTGACTTTATTAATTTGGGGCTGCTTTCCGACAGGCACCCTGACAAACGGCAAGAAGTTCGACTCCTCCAGGGACCGAGGATCACCCTTCCAGTTCAAACTGGGCGCAGGTGAAGTCATCCGTGGTTGGGATGAAGGTGTAGCTCAGGTAAGTGGAGCTTTGAAGGGGCACACTGATCAATGTTATGTTAAACACATGAAGATACGTTCGGTGCCTTCGTTTTGGCAATAGCTCCGAGTCATTTTCCCCTCAAAAATAACAAAACAAAAATATCACTGTGGCTTACTTTAGCGTTTATGTGTAAGTTTATTGTAAGTCACAAATGAATCTGTTAAGATGTTGCTGCCTTTTATTATCAGAGGCTGCAAATATGAGCAGAAACCAGGCCATCCATTATCTGCATTTTACACTCTGAGCCGTTTTATCTGATGTTTGCTAGCAAGCCATTTTAATTCTGTTATTTCAGTACTGCTTTTTAGAGCTTATGTTTTATCATATAGATTTTTATTTAATATTTGCATACTTATTTTAGTTTACATTTTCATTTCAAAAGGATTTTATTTTTAATAAAGTAATGGTCTGCCAAAAATACCAGAGATTTCATTGCTTGGCTATATTATGAGGTAAAATTGTATCATAAAGGTATGTCAAAGACCATAATTAGGATTGGTTGTTTTTTGCTTTTTATTTCATGTTTCTTATTAACTTAGTCATGAAGTGCACAAAGGCCAAAATACTACTGTGGTTATGAGGTGTATAAGTTTAAATATTTCAAAATACAAACACAATCTTCTACACAGAAAAAAAAAAACACTTTGCAATCGGTTTGGTTGCCAGCAGCTTGCTGCTGTTGCCTGAAATTTGCAAGGAAGACACTGCCTTTTCCGCAATCACTCGCCCACTACTTGCTGCACAGTAGTAAAGCACTAAAAAGTGCAAGGTGCAAACAGGCAGTGCAGAGCAATCAGTCATGCAAACTGCAGCTGCTGCACACACACAGTGAAACTGTTCATGCTGCATGTTACAGTAACAGAAAATACAGGCAACTTTCATCTGGGGCCTTCAGGCCTAGTATTTGTTGTTTGTTGCCGTCTCATATGGCTTCACTCATTTAAGCCAGCGTGAAATGTCTAATGAACTATATTCACTTGTGTAATTTTTTTTTCTTTCTTTCTTTTTAACACATCTTCAAAGCTGTATCAATCACTGGGAGGGCTTTTAAAACAAAGTAAACTTTGTTCATTTCACTCACCTATATAACTTGGTCTTCATCTCCTCCACAGATGAGCCTGGGCCAGGTGGCCAAGCTGACCTGCTCTCCGGACTACGCGTATGGCAGCAGAGGATATCCACCCATGATCCCTGCAAATTCCACTCTTATCTTTGAAGTGGAGCTTCTGAAATTCTGAGGGTTTAAATTGAGTGTTACTATTCATTTTTCTTCCTCATCCTTTCCATCCACATTTAATAGTTTGATCAAAGGTGCTGTCATTATCATTCTGAAACACTGATTAATTATTGTAGAAAGAGTTTGTCTCAAATACATCTTGTGTAGATGTATTTGAGACAAATGAGAACAGGCAAATAAGCGTCTTAAGGTAGTGAGATGATTGTGAAGTCTCTAAAATTTGAAGTAGTAGTAAAATAATTTGGGGAAATGCTGGTAGCTTTCTTGCTGGAAGTTGGATGACATCAGTAATACTTCTCTCTGTTCAATAAATATGAAAAACCCAGCTTAAGACCAGAATTCAGCAATGTCTCTGTTCAAAGAAATCAAAAATCCACCAAGGCCAGTGCTTTATCTTGTGAATTTTAAATAAAATTATTTCAGATGTTTCTTTCTTTGACCATGCTCAATCTCTCCACTGAAGTGACCAATAGATTCTGGGGGTTTTTTTGGTTTTTTTTTTTTTAAACTCTGTGTAACAGCACTGAAAATCTAACTAATTAGTCATCTACAGGTGTTGGTAAATGACTTTACTGACCTTTTAAACAGTAGGCTCATATTTACCAAATGCATATGAGCAATATTGATCTCATCTCACTTTATGTAGAAAGTCTTTGCCAAAAAAAAGCCTGTTTAATAGGTTTCAGATGAATTTAAACTGGCATTGGATGAAAAAAAAAAATCAGTATTAAAGGATATGATTGCTGAATCTGGCCAGTTTATATTGGTAACCTGAAAATGACAATTTAATGCAGTCTTGGATGCTAAGTGAAATTTGAGGATTTATTTAGCCTTATTTTCTGCCACTTGCCTGTTAAATTTTTAAGTTACCTGTTTATCTGCAGCTTACCTATTACTCAACACAAAGGGCACACGATAGCACGCCAAAAAACAAAGTAACATTTCAAAGCGTGTTGGATATCAGTCCTTTTTAGGAAATTTTCATATTGTTCAAGCGTTTTTAAAGTAATGTGGTAATCCCTGTCAAAACACATATAACACCTTTTAGTAATTTTTTTTTTTCTGAGTAGATTTATCCCTTCAATAAAAGCATTGATTTGACAGCTTAAACAACCAAGAAAATAGGAAAATCTTTCTATGTTTGGAAATAGTAATGCACGGTGACCTGTTCAGTTTCAAACCTAATCATGCCATTTATATTGTTGGTTACATTTTACGAAACCTGTTCTCCTTTAACTTTCCTCCTGTATCTTTGAAGTTACAAAGTGTCTTTGTCTTTTGTCATAATACAGTCACATTACTGGTAGGGGGAGGGGGGGGGGTTTCTTCACTGTATCATCCATTGGAATTTGTCTTATCTTTGGGAACTTCATTCTTGAATTAAAAGCGTAAACTATAAATGTCTCATTCATTGCTACACCAAGTCTCTTTGGGAATTCTAGTTTAGAAGACTGCTGTATTTCCAAGAATTGGTGCAGATTTATAAATGACTAAAAATGTGTTTTTGTTCTGCTTGCTTAAACGTGTGTCAAAATTGAAATCCTTAATAGGAAAGATTTCTGCTCTGTGGGTTTACTGGTTGGAGTTAAACTGATCTGTAGCAGTTTAATGATAAATCCTGACCAGGAGTGTGAATTGCATTTTTTTACTTGGCAATACTTTAAGTGTGCTTTTTTTATATATAGGAAAGAGATGAGTTTTTATATTTTTTTTTTTATAAAGTGCCTATAAACAAAGAGTATTGTTAGGCTAATAGGCATTGCATTACTGTAATTAAAAGCAGTTATTGTTTAAGTTTTATCATATTAATGCCTAATTGAACATGTTAATATTCATTATACAGCTTCTTCAGTTAAAGACAATAGTATTTGAGATATATATCCATTTATTTGATGTCTTATATATACACTAATGAGTTCATGGGTTTATTTTTAGTAAGTTTATCAATAATTTAATGTAATTATGCTAATATATCTGTAATAGCTATTTTATAATACAGCAAAGCAACACCCAGGGTGCTCCTGCTTGTGTTGAGAGCCTAGCATAAAGTCACACAGGTGCCGCAGTTTCCTTGATCTCGTCTACATGTTTGTGTCCATGATGCACCGCCATCTAGTGGGGAATAATTGAGTTGCATTCACTTAGACTCAGTAAGCTACCATCATATATATGTCATAAGATTTCAAATCATTTGACACTGGCTGTTTTATAGTCTGTTGTAGTGTAAAAAAACAACAAAATAAACCCCAAATAGTATTGATATTTACTGCAGTTTATGCCCCTAGTAACCTGCACCACCTAACGGATGGAAACAGGAAGTCTCTGTAGTTTTGAGCAAATTTTTATGATGACAAATATTTCAAGCATCAACACGTTTTTCATGTCATAACGAAACAGCATTGCGTAAAATACCATGAAGAATATATTGCAAAATCAAAGTGAATTTACTCAAGTACAGGTGTTAGAGCACATCATCTCATGTGCCACTGTGCTTTTTTTCATTGTATATTCTGATCTTGATTTGTTGAGCTGTAAAGTAGAATTTAGCAACAAACATATACAGATATACAGCCATTAATATAGTTATATAGCATAGCTACACTTTTACTGTAATGCACAAGATGCTGGAGAAACAAAGCAGAGTTCAGCAATAAACAGAAATATTTGGGCACAGCCTGGTGGATCTGAATGTCTCAAGATTACTTTATGTAAGAAGGATCCATCAAGTGGAACGATCTTTGTTAAAAGGATCCCGGTCATTCGATATGTGTTTGGGCTTTTATGAGGCCTATTTAACAAAGCCCACCTCTGCAGCCAGTCACGGGCTCTCCAGCTAATGATCCAGATGATAAGTTTTAGCCCGTTACACTTCCACTTACTAATTTACCTGTATTAGCTCATAATATAACATGATTTTCCTATATTAGATCGAACTCTATAGTATTCATTATTTTCCACTTTCTCCGGAGCTACATACAGGTTTTCACTTTTTTTTATCGTATGTGTCATCTAGCAATCACTTTCTTTATTGCAGAAGCATCGTAGCAGAAAAGAAAAATCAACAGATCTTCAGTACAAGACGTGTCGTTTGCCTTTCTGAACACTAGAGGGCACTCTGGTACTCTGGAGTTCATGAATTCAGAAGGCTATATAATAATCATCACTAACATCGGCCAGTGAGAGAGTGGGGGAGGCCGGCTTTAACCTGACGAATGGGAAACAACCACTGGGGGGCTTTGACACAACACCACCCCCCGCCCCGGGTGAAGGCAGAGATCAGACCACTAGCATGCCATTAGATTCAATTACAGGAAGAGGCCCCTGAATCCCACCCACAGCCAGGATCTGGATAGAACACAATTAAATAATGAAATGAAATAGACTGAAAATTTAACTGAGTAATCAGGAAGCCCTGTGTTTGGGTCCAATTTTCCGTAAACCTGACATTTGTTTCTTATAACTGTTGCTTCACACTAACGGTGCCTATTCCATCTAAAAACAGCAGCATGGTTTCCATATGACACAGAGCGATGACTTTGATTGAACCTGGTTGATTGAATCTTGATTAAATTTGTATTGTTGTTCTGACCACTTTGCAAAGACAAATTAAAAACTCACAAAGACAACCAGCTTGTGTGTAATTCTGTTTATTTCAGAATGTTCATAACAGTGGCCAATTACGTTTATAGGCCGTTTTCACCAATATGTTTTAAATACATTTAGATAAACTTTTAAAGTATGTAATATCATATTGGTACATTTCCCTGCAGTTTTATTGTCCACTATTGTGTAAAAACATTTCCATAGAGATAATATATTTTATAATTTCACTGTTAACCCCCCTCACTACCACCTTCGTAGTTACACTGAATTAAACAAAAATTATACACCGTTTGCATGATAACGAATAAGATGCTGCTGACAGTGAACTACATGCAGGTTTTTTTTCCCTGTAGCTTCTGTGATTCATTACAAGCAGTTTCTTTATCTCCAGAGCTCCTTTCACAGTCAGGCTCTGCAGAATTACTCCAGCTGTCACCTTGTGCTCCAACCAACAAAAAAGAAAATCAAGCTGCTAAACCTTAATATGACACATGTGTAGTTTGTCTCTTAAAAACACTAGGGGGCACTCAGGTACTCTGTGGATGATTTAGAAGCCTTTCAGAGTGATTAGTAATTTACTACAAGAAATACTTTGTTGCATCATTTTAGTGTGCTCTTTGTGCGCAACAAAAACAAAACAAAAAACAAAACCTGTCATAAGCAATCTACATTAAGCTATAATGGCTAAACAAGCAGTTAGGACTTTCTTTTTTTCTGTGATAAGCACAAAAATTAAGTTAAAATTAAACCAAAGGCACAGAGATATCTGATAATGATGATTAGGCAGGTGGAAGATCTCCAGGTTTTCACTGTACTTCATTTGCTTGTAAGAGTCACATTCTCTTGTCTCGCAAACTGAAAAGAAAACAGAAATCCACTCTGGTCAGATGCTTACCACAATGCATGCTACTCCAGGTACCTCCCATCCCTTTCATTATGAATCACAAATAATATGATGTAAAATTTGATGTTACCTTTTCATCAGAGGAGGTTGGCAACTTCTTTCCTGTGTGGATCGTTTTGATCTTTGTAGCCCTGGTTAGCGATCCAATTATTAATAGTAGTTAGATGGTCATCTGTCATAACACCTTTGTTTTTAAGCTGGTCAGACCATTCCTTTACCATCTTTTCACTGTGATGTGGAAAACTTTTTTCAAAATCTTTAAGTCTGCTTTTGCTTATATTTGTATTCTGGAAGTTTTTGAAGTTCCTGCTACTATCCAACCAGAATCTTGGCATTGAACCAAGGATTGTTAGCTTGAAAGTACCCACAACATCATTACTACTTATGGCTCTAGTCAAAAGGTCTCTGAAGGCTTGTGATTTTGTACTGGGAAATTCACGATGTACTTCTGCAGGCACATAAACTGTTGGAAGTTCACGGCCATGATATTTGTGTACATCAGAAATGTTCCCAGTAGATGAGTTTGTTGCCACTTCAAGCATGGCTTCTGCTAATCTGCTATTCTGGTTCAATTTTCTGGCCTTCAATATGCTACTGACTGGTGGCTGGTGATCTGCATTGATGAACTTTCCAATTCCTTTATTTCCTTTTGCATGTGTTTGCCTGTTTTTGTATTTTTCTACTTGGCCAACTAATTTCTGACGTAACTCTTTGCTTTCTTTTATGGCTTGTTTGGGTGCAGCTCCCTCTAACATGTACCAGTCCCCTCCCCTGATTGTTTCAGTTAATTCTTTCCGCTTGATGAAAGACTCCCATTGGCCTGGGTAACTGAGGAGAGCATCAGCCTCCACAGATCGAAGACGATTTGCTTCCACAGTGATCTCTTCTTCACTGGCTTGTGGTTTTATTCCACGTGCCCAAGC